TGGGTTTGAACCACCAGCCTTCTGGTTAGCAGTCAAGTGCCTTAGGCACTATGCTACCAGAGCTCCTGGTTCAACAGCAGTGGGGCAGAAACACAGGGCAGGGAAGCCCAATGAGGTAAGAAACTCACAAAGCTAGATTTTCAGGCACTGGGGCTCCTGGTGTCCTCGGGCACAGGGCCACCATACCTGCCCATGCCTCTGAGGCCCTGTGACACCCACTCCCCAGCCCCGCTCACAACACCCTGGGAGGCCCACGGCGCGGATCCACCGCTAAGCCTCCTGGTCCCCCCGCCCCCACGGTCTCCTGCATGGCTGGGGGACGGTGTGGGGTGGGGTCTCCAGCTTCTCTGTCAGGATTCTCCAGTCGGCCCTGCGTTACCGCCCAGCGGCCTTGAATTCCAAATTGCTTCTTTTTTTCAGCATCTTCTTTGTGCTCACGGCATCACCAGCGTCACTTTCTTGCTGACTCAGTCTTCTGCTGCTGCAAACACGGAAAAAATGAGTCAGTGAGCCCCTGTAGTGCCAACCGTGCCCCCGTCTGCCCCTGGAAGGGCGGTCATGCTCGGGCTGGTCAGGGCGGGGCCCCAAGAAGGCAACGACAGGCCAGCCGAACGGTTCTTCTCCTTCACCCTTGCAAATCTACTTATTTTTATCGTGGTGAAGTGTGTTTGAAAAATAAGACATCTTCCAGTTCAACCACTTATCCGTGTCTAATTTGGTGGCATGAAATGTTTTCATCATGTTGTGCAAACACCATCTGTTTCCACATTTTTCCATTCTCCTTAACGGAGGCTTAGAGTCTTGGTGGTGCAGTGGTTAAGTGCTTGGCTGCTAACTGAAAGGCTGGTGGTTTGAACCCAGCAGCCACTCTGTGGTACAGAAATGAGGCAGTCTGCTTCCATAAAGACTGACAGCCTTGGAGACCCTGTGGGCAGTTCCACTCTGTCCTCTAGGGGCGCTGTGGGTCAGAATGGACTGTACAGCAGTGGGTGTGGTTTGGGCTTTGCTTCTGTGAAGATTGACAGCCTTGGAGACCCTGTGGGGCAGTTGCACTCCGTCCCCTAGGGGCACTGCGAGTGGGAATCGACTCCACCGCAGTGGGTGTAGTTTTGCTTTGAACAGAGCTCAGTGTTCCCCCCTCACCCCACCCCTGGTAACTATATGAGCTCTGAACTCTGTGTATTCACTGAGTCTAGATCTCTCATGTAAGTAGGATCAGATGATAACTGTCCTATGTCTGGCTTCTTTCACTCAGCACAAGGTTTTCAAGGGTCACCCATGCTGGCCCTGTTGTGTGTCAGGACTTTGTTTCTTTTTATGCCTGAATGACATTCCAATGGCTTCCATTTTGACAAACTGGGTTGTTCAAAAAACCAAATACAACCCCTGGTTTCCCTGTGTCGGGTGGGACAGCATCCATATGGCACGAGACCAAGCACATGCCTGCTTGCGTGACGGGGCACCCAGGGCTGACCTCCCCATTTCGAAGTGCACAGTGTCTTTAACCAATAGTCACCCTGGTGAGAGAGGGGCTTGCCTCTCTCTCAGTGGTCAGTCTGAGCCCTGATGGGGCACAGAGCCTATGCTGATCCGACTAAATTAGACACGAACAGTAACAGTGATGGCAGGAATAAAGGCCTGGCAATCTACCTCTGAAAATCAGCCAGGGAGACCCTGTGGGTCACAGTGGTCCCACCTGCAAGGGGTCACCAGGCAGGTGCAGGACCGGGCAGCGTTTCAGTGGGTTGTGCACGGGGGTCGCCGTGAGTACGAGGCCAGCCGGCAGCAGGAGGAACAACTGAGCAGTCCCATTAACCCCACTAACTCCCATTACTGTCTCGTCCTGCTGTGTCCAGCCCCCGGGGCCCTGGCACTCATGTCTGGGAGAGCAGCTGCTTGTCTGCCCAGGTGCAGGGGCAGTAGGTGAGCCAGGGCCCCACTGTACCTGAGCGGTCCTGCCACGTGGCTCCCGGAGGCAGGGTCTTCATCATGGGGTGCCCCTGGCTCCCCTCTCTCCCGGGGAGGGGGTTTCTTCCTTCTGGTCCGTAGGGGCTTCTCTGTGGACGACAGAGGAGCCCAGACATCCTGACTTCAGGCATCTTTACCTTGGCTCAGCCTCTCTCCCACCCACCTGGCATTCCCTGGGTGGCCTCTGTGGGGCCCCACTTCCCCAATACTCCCTGAACTGGTTAGGAAACTGAAGCCCAGTGCTCTCCCAAGCCCAGCCAGGCAGGGGCACTGTGGGATTCGAACTCTGGCTTCTCAGAACCGCCCCCACCATAGTCCTGCTAACACCCCCAGCTGCCTTTCAGGCTCACCAGGCAGGTGAGCTGAGGACACAGCACTTGTGCTATGGCCCCACATTTCACAGCACTGTCCCAGCCATCACCCCACTAGATGACCCCGCTTCTTCTTTCATATTGGGCAGCTTGGGGTCAGATTAGGGACGTATGGCCATACTAGTGGCAGAACTGGGACGAGGTACTTGAATTTAAAACTCTGGCTCCTAGTGGGTGGTACAGGCTTATTCCAAAGTAATAGAGAGAGCACAAGCCAGGAACAAGGACACTGCAATGTCATCAAATCCATCACTGTTGGGGGAGGGGCCAGGAACAAGGACACTGTGATGTCACTGGAGTTGTCACTGTTGGGGGAGGGGCCAGGAACAAGGATACTGCAATGTCATCAAATCCATCACTGTT